ATTGCTTCTTTACTATTCAAAAGCACTTTCATTATAAAAAATTGTGGTCCAATGTGTTTGGTGAAAAAAAAATAAAAAATAAATAAAAACCCTTATAGGTGGTAGAGGTTAGGTAAAAAAAAAACGCATTTAAATTAAGTTAAAAATTGTAACTTTTAAAACTGCGTTATAGATAGAGGTTTATCTTTGTAGGTAACCAAATTTTTTAGACAATGTAATCCATTTATATTTTTTATGAATACAATTTTGTCCCTGTTAGAAATAAACACCAAACAATATTCTATTTATTCTAGGACTCTCCAACTACATTCCATTTATATTTTAGTACTAAATACACATTCAATATTATAAACAAAATATGTGATATTAAAAATAAAAAAAAATTAAAAAAGAGATACAAGTTGAAATTTATAAATTATTGAACACAATGACATTTTATAATATTTAATATTAGAAAATTAACAAAATTTTAGTATAAATATAATATTGTCAAATTAATAATAAAAATGCTTTAAGCAACATTATTATCAAACAAATTTAAAAATATTTCAAGTATAAAAAGTGCTTTATACAATCTATTTTATTAATAAAGCTGTTATAAATTTGCTTTCAGTACCAAACACGGCTCTAAGAGTTCAAGTTTGGGCAAAACAAAATTGGGTGGCTGAATTACTTAAAAAAAAAAAATGGTGTAAATGGCAAGGGGTAATTTGTCATTTCACTATCAGCTTGTCGAAGTCATAATCTAAAAAAGGCGCGAAAAGGTAGACTCTTTTTAGAAATTTCCCGATTTGTTGCCTTCTCTCTAGAGGTCGGCAACGAAGATGTCAAATTCGTCGCACTGGATAGAGTCGGCGAATGGACGACGTCATTCTCACTACTCTTCTCTTTCTTTTGATCTCTATCCAATCGGTTTCCTCGACCCATCCCATACAGACACTCCGACGTCGTTCAATCTCTCTCTCTCTAAAAACACACATACTTTCTCTCTCTAAAGTGGTCCATGCCCCTAACAGGAAAATGTAAAGGCGATTTACTGATTTTCTTTTTCAACTCTCGCTCCCTCTCGGAGTTTGATAAATGATTGTTTATTTTGGACTTTTACAGAGAGATTGTGCTGGTTTTGGATCGGTTTGATCATTGATGACGACGGCGACGATAGTGCGTATAGGTATTGTCCCCTTTCTCTTTCAATTATTTCACGGTTCAATTCAAACATATATTTTAGAAAGAAAAAAAAATGAGAGATCGGTTGGAATTTAACTGGATTTGATTGCTACTTGTAGACTAACCTGAGATCGTTACTATAAGATACCTAAAAAGTCATTATCAGATTAATAAAATTTGAAGATAGAGCTTAGCTGTTTTCAATCACAACAAATTTTGGCCTAATTTAATTAGGGTTTCAAATGAACTGACTTGAGTTGAGATCAATTTGTAAGTTCAATTAAAACTGAAATCTCATACTCTTAACAAATTTGAAATGTCTGAGTTTTAACTTCAGTTCACATTAGTGGCAGGCGAACTGAATTTTGCATATGAACTGGGTGATTGGAAGGTGGAGATTTGAAAGAAAAAAAAAGGGTTAAAATTATAAAACCCCACTTTTAAAATCGTACATAAAATCTTAGTAAAATAACTAACAAAACTTTTCAAGATACTTCCAACTCTTAAATGGTTCATGAAATGTCAAATTTGACCTTATTATTTAATATTAAATTAAAATTTTATTTTAAAATTAAAAATATATCCTCGTTTTTTTCTCAAACAATTTGAAAGTCAAATTTGATTTAATAATTTTTAATTAACATTTTTGTAAGTACTTTGGGAAGATATATTTTGTAATTTTAAATAATAATTATAGTTTCTAATTTAACATTAAATAGTAAAGTCAAATTTGACATTTCACAGCCCATTTAATTTGTTGGTCACGAATTTGAGATAATTTGATAAGTTTTGTTAGTTCATGGAATTTTTTTAAAAATTTTACTGAAGGATTTATACACGATTTTAAAAGTATAAGAGAATTTTATGATTTTAACTTTTTGGAAAATTAGGAATAAGTACTGTGGGCCTAAAAGTAACTACTACTATAATTTTCCAATTTTTTAAACATTGATTTAATTGTGTGGGTCCGTTTGAAATCAAAAAGTGCAATTGCACTAATGGGTTTTAATGAGGAGTAAAAGTTTCTAATGCTGGTGGGAGTTACATTAGGCACAAATATCTTAGTTTAGTTTTTATTTGTTTTGTTTTTGAAAAGTTTGTAGTTAATGAAGTTAGGATAAGCAGAAAGAAATTCAAACTTATAATAATAAGGTGGGACACTTAAACCTAACCTTTTATCATCCGGAAAATACGACTATAATACCTAGACTTTAAAACTCATGGTAGACATTCTATGAAAAAGAGAAAATATGACAAAATGTAGTGTGTTTTGGACTTTTGGTGATTATTATTACATAACATATATGAGGGGCGTGGTCCAACAACCTTTTGCACCACAAAAGATTGATTATTTAATTGTGATGATTTTTAACAATTTGATGCGAACTTTTGTTTGGAGGTGGATGTGGACAATGAACTCTTTGGTCACCACCACGATGGTTGATGCAATAATGTTACTATGTGGTTAAATGGAACAATCACTTTACGGTTTCTTGACGTCGACGACTCACTGTTTGTGCACTACTTATGTTAAGTGAGTGACAGCTGTAGCTGTCGTGGCATTTGTGGTAATTATAATTAGCATAGAATATATATATTTTTTATTGTAATAAAAGGTCACATAATATCTCAGTACTTAGTTTATCTTTTTGCTTTGGAATATATATAGTGGTTATAGTTTTATATGCTGTCCCTCTTCAAGGAATAATTCTTATTTAAATAGTGAGTAACGTCTATTCTATTTGGTATAATTGTTATACCAAGTGAATTTTATTATAAGAATTTTATTTACAAGTGGATTTGATTTTTATGTATAATATCTCGTATTAGTTCATTGTTTGGGGGAGCAAGATTGACAAATATAGAAGTCACCGAAAATAATGAATGCCAAAAAAAAAGTGTGTTGGACTCGATGAAGATTGTGCAAGTAGATTCTTTTTCTCATGGATATACATACTTTTATATGTACATACTTTTTATACTATGTATTTATATACCATATATAAAATATTTAATTATATATATATATTTTTAACAATAATGAGGGTATTTTAGATGTTTTAATTTCAAAATTGAAATAATATTCTCATTTGCACAAATTAAAACAAAGATTTCTTGCACAATGAGAATTTTTTTTTTTCTGAACATCTCGTTATGTGTATGTATATATATATTTGTATAAATCTGATATGTCATAATAGATTTATTCAAAATAGATTATTTATTTTTAGTTTTAACGGTTATTTTATATTTTTTTGTGTAAAAATATACCCTTTAATAACAATCAATCAGATTCTACATAATTTTTACAGGCCTACTTAATATATAGTTAATTCGTTAATAGAATGGGAAAGAAGGCCGAGAGAATATATATGCTTATGTGACTGTGTAAAAAAATTGTGTACACAACAATTTTACAAATTTGTGCATCTTAACAAATTGTCAGAGATAAAAAAAAACCTTACACGTTATGCGATTTACACAAAATAGTGTTTTAACGTACAGTTAAAGATGCTGTTAGTTATAATATATATATATATATATCGACATGTAGTAGATAGATAGAGAGATTCAGTATGCAATACATCAGCCATGATCGAGTTGATGCCGCAGCCAAGAAATGGGTTGCTGTCACCTTGCAGGAGCCAACACGAAAAGTGAAGCCAGCCCCTCCAGGTTTGTTTTCCCACAGTAAGTACAGCTATCGTACACTTGCCCACTTGACACGCCCACCACCATATATTCTCAATCTCAGCTCAGATGTAAACAGATTAGACATTTCCTAAACCACGAAAAAAAAAAAAAAAAAACAGCTCAGATAACTACTACCACTCTGCAACTATACACTATTTGCCCAACAAAAATCCTAGATTTCATTTTGATTTAGTTATTCTATTTCCCATAGCTGTTATTAAAAGTTACCTTTAAATCAATTTTAATTTATTTTTCACAAAGCTGTACTTAATCAACCACCACCAATAGTGCTCTGGGCCCACCCCTGATTTGCCTTCCCACTGGATAAGTCATGGGTAATTTTACTTTACCCTCTTCAGCCCAACAACCCCCCACTACCCCCTTCGTCTCTCTCTCTCTCTCTCTCTCTCTATATATATATAGAGACATACAACCTTTTATATATAATTGGTTCTACCATAAAGAAAAGGAAATTAATTTGTGCCGACCTACTAATGATCTCTGTATATATTATCTCTATACTTATATTTAATATACCGTCCAACCGGTAAGTCTACAGCGGTCCCTAAACAAAAAGATATCGTAATTTAGTTCTTAATAAATTATTTGACTCCAACTGTAATATTTTAATCACAGACCTGCTTTTGTTTGTTTTTGTTTTTTGCCATGTTTCTGGTTGTGTTATGTGATGTGGGTTTTTTAAAATTATATTGAATTTGTTCATTATGGGATGATTTAGCTTGGTAGTTACAAGTCTTAATCAGAGTTTGTGTTTGTTAAGGAGTGGCCTATTATATAATTAATGGGTCAGTCTAGCATAGATTATTAGATTTTATGAGGAGCCAAAATTGCTTTTTCTTAATTTATTTAATATCTTTAGACTGTTGTAACTTTTAATATTTATTGTACTTTAAATAAAATGGCATTTCAAGATTTTTTCTTTAACAGTTGATTTGAATGCCTCATCTTTACCCACTACTTTGCTGAAAGTTATGGATGTGGCATCGATTCATTTAGTTCAACAGGTTCGTTATAACTGAAAATGACATTCTAATTGTTATTTAACTTTTTTTTTGGATTCATTAAAATTTTCAATGATGCAATGCATTCTAATTGTTATGTAACTTTTTTTGGATTTATTTGAATTTTTCAATGATATGATGCTTTTGTTTTTCAATGAGACGCGTTAGGCGTTAGGACCATTTGAGTATTTTTTTTTTTTCTTTCAAGTTGAGGTTGTGGATGTCTGTGAAACTTGACCATTATTTCTTCTGTCCTTTCTAGTTGGTCCTATTACGAATCCTCTTTATGTTTGGCTTCAAAGAAGCCAACCCCAACCCATAGACACGCTTTGTTTGCAATGGTCCTTCAAACCTCTCATTTGGTATAAAAAAAAAAAAGACTATACCTTGTGTTTCTGCCTGCATTTTCAAAATCTCCTTTCTGAGCTGCTGTTCTGTATATTCGATCATAGGACAATGAAAACCCGGAGAGCCAAACGTTCTGAGGTACTATTGGAAGTGCTGTAGTACTACTTTTCTTGTGTTCTCGTGTGATTTCGATGTCAATTACATGTTTCTCGATGATTTGTCAACAATTGCATTTGTTTGCAGGTCTTTTGGCCTTCCATTGTGATGAAGAAATGGCTAAATATTCAGCCCAAGGTGTGTGATTTTAGTGAAGATGAAATTGACACTGAAACTGAAGCAGAGAGCGAGGATGATGGTATGCTTTTCGTAATTTAACCATGCCATTTAATTTCTTGCACTTTCCCCTGCTTCATCATTCTTTTGCACTTTTCATCCAGCCGAGTCTCCTAGAGATGCAAGAGTGCATGTGGGTGTCGATCGTGCCAGTCGAATGCAGAGGAAACAATCTGTTTGCCCAACTCAAACTTCAGGCAATATATTTTAAATAAACTGTATTTGCTAAAGATTTCATCTTTGTTCCTTTTTTTTTTTCTTTTTTTCTTCATTAAACTATTGTCTCTGAAAGTTTTGTTATGACTTACTGTCGGCAATTCACTTGCTTCATTCTTAAGTAGTCCTCATATTGACTAAAATTTTGATGTGTTATCGATAATTTAATTCAGCTTGAGATTTTTAATATTTAATTTTCAATAAAAGAGCTTAATAAAGATTGATGGATATTCCTGTTATCTTAATACTTTTTCCCATCTGATGACCATCTCAAGGTTGTGCTGTTTCAATGTCCTATTTATACAGGGACACCTTCGAAGGGCTATTCCTTAAGGCACAGAAGAGGGAAATCAGAAACTCTACGAGCTCAATATATAAATACTAAAGATGTGAGGTTTGGCTCCGAACTAATTGGATCTGGTTTCTGCGTTTCTGGTATTGAAACTCAAATTATAGTTTTTGGTACTCGCTGATATCCTACAGAGCTTCTTTTTTTACTGCAGAGTGACAATAGGCACTTGGAATGTTGCTGGAAGACATCCATACGAGGATCTTGATATTGACGAGTGGCTTTGTATGCAAGAACCAGCAGACATTTACATTCTTGGGTGAGTACTTCCTCAGGTTTATAAATGCATTAAAATTCTGCATACATGGCAATTAATCAACATAGAGTCTATTCTCTTGAGTGTGTCACAATTTATATGTGCACCTGCATTCAATAAATTGAGTGCATGGGGCAAATTTTCTTTATTAATTTGTAAATAAGCAGAAGTTCTGAGATCATGTATTATGACCATTTAATCAACATGGAGATCATAAAAATCTTATGGGCTTCGGTGTTTAGATAAATACATAAAGGAAAATAGTTTACGATTATTTTTATGAGTACACAACTGTGCACACAACCTTCTGTGTTCAATTTCTATCTACCTGTTTATTAGTGGAGTGCCATTAATGGAGGCTTACTGTTCTTTTAGTATTTGTCAAAATGACTAGGCAATACTGGTGATGGTAAGATAGGTGCTGCAAGTGGATTTCTTTCACACACACACACACTCACACACACACATATTGAATTCTTATTAGTTGCTCTATCTACAAATAGAGCAAGAAGTTGAGAAGAAATATAAGAAACTTATTATTAAGCATAATTTGATAAAAATCCTCAACAAGTGCAGACATCTAACAATAATATGTTACAATTCTACCAAAAAAAGCCAGTTTTGGGTTGCTTAATAAGCATTAATAGATAATTTGAATTGATTACAACTAGTTCATGTCAGAGGGCCCAAATCAAAACAGTCCTTGAAGGGCAACATTACTTGGTTAATGACCATATGTTTTACAGATAATTATTTAATGGTCAGACAAATTACAGACATCGCCAAAGTAATAGCAAATGAAAAGAGATGATATAACAAACTTTAGTGGCTTGAGAGAGAGAGAGATTTTCTGTTTGCTTTTTTTTTTTTTCAAACCTCACTTCGCAACTTTTCCTTAGTGGGCATTTGGTTTACTGGTATGATTCTCACTTACGGTGTGCAAGGTTTGGAACTGAATTCTTGAAATGCTGCAACTCCTTATAGAAGAAAGAAAATTGGCCTTCAGAGAACTGCACTTATGGTATAATAAGTCTACTGACACATAAATCAACGTTTTGGAATTGTTTATAGTGCATCCATTGCTGCAATTAGTGTTAGATATTCTTCTCTTCCACAATAGCAGGAAGTACAATTCCATTTCTTGTATTAATTCTTTTGGTTGCCATGACGTTTAAATTTTGATATAATCATGATTGAATGCTAAGTCTCTATTTACATTTAACAGTTTCCAAGAGGTGGTCCCTTTGAATGCTGGGAATGTACTTGGAGCTGAGGATAGCAGGCCAATTCCAAAATGGGAGGCAATAATTCGTAGAACTTTGAATGGAACTTTGGAACCTGAAACCAAACACAAGAGCTATAGTGCCCCACCTTCTCCAGTATTTAGGACGTCTTCTGCCGCTGATATTCTTGCGGATGAGATCGAGACTCCTGCATTAGAGACGATAAGCGAGGATTTGATGGGCACCACTAAGGATAAATTCTATGAAGGATGTAAACTGAAGGGGATAATTGGTATGGATAAGAAACTGCAGTTAAGAAGAATATATGGCATTGACAATGACAGTAGATTGGATTGGCCTGAACAGTCATTTGATGCAACACCTCAATACCGTTCTTCTAGTTTGAAATTGCGCAGAGTGTTGAGCAGTTCTCCAAGACTTGGCTCTGATTGGATGGATAATCTTCTAACGTTTAGCCCTCAGAATATTGCACTTAATGGTGGTCGACTGAGACGATCACATCAGAGCTCTGGAAACCTAGGATTGATCTGGATGGATCAACAAGAGAAGCCTGAAGTTCTTGATTCCCTTTCAGATGTCTCCGATCAATTTTCTGAAGAGGAGGATGATTCCTTTTTAGATATTTCAGAGGTGCAACACGAAAGTGAGCTTCTAGAAGATGGAGTAAAGGCACGTCCTAGGTTTGTGCGGATAGTCAGCAAGCAGATGGTTGGGATATACGTATCAATTTGGGTGCGTCAAAGCTTAAGGAGACGTATAAACAACTTGAAAGTCTCTCCTGTTGGAGTCGGGCTTATGGGCTACATGGGAAACAAGGTATCACATCTCCTTTCCAATTAATAGTGCGCCAACCTGTGTCAAGTTTGCACTAGCATGTGTCTTGAGTGTCTCCATTGCAATGCTAAAGAACTTGAACTACCATGTAATTATTGACATGCTGCCTTATACACATTTGTTGGTAAATAATGGGAAAAAGATTAAAAAAAAAAAAAAAAGCAGTGGCATTGTTGGATACAATGCCTTTGCAAAATTATATTTCATACCGTACTTATATTGAAACCACTGTCCTATTATTACTATCATGCTGCATCCTTCTAAGGAAGGATGCCACTTTCATTTCATAGACAATGCAAAGGGGATGATGGTTATTCAATATTCACTTATTTTTCCATTTTATGAAACAAAATATTGCACTCCATATCTTAGTGTGGAGCTTGTGTGATTGCCTACTGGCTGATGATTGTAGTATTATAGATGCACCTACTTGTCACTGTTACGTATGCATTGATTGAGAACTGTTCATATTTGTTTTGACATTGTGAGTTATCAGTCTAGTTAATTGATGGTTTCTGATACAGGGATCCGTCTCTATTAGCATGTCTCTTTTTCAAACACGGCTATGCTTTGTTTGTTCTCATTTGACCTCTGGTCATAAGGATGGTGATGAACAGAGGCGTAATTCCGACGTGTATGAGATCTTAAGACGTACTCAATTCTCTTCTGTCATTGATTCTGATCAACCACAAACAATTCCTTCTCATGAGTAAGCTTCATTTTGTCATTGAAATTAAATCTACATAGAGTTATTGTCTACTCATGCGAGTACCATGTTGCTTGGAAATCAGATTGAGTCATTAGCCACATGAATATGGATTGCTCAGATTCTTTTGTATATATATATATAAAAGTAAATTTTAAGTTTCATAAAAGTGGTGATATAAATAATCTCTCTTTTTCCAAAAATTAAGAGATTGGAAGAGTATCGTTGGATCAACATACAAAGGTCTGTTTTGCATCAATAATGAAAAATGAAGTTATGAAAAAGCCAAAAAAATAAAAAAGAAAAAAGAAAAGGATCAAACTCAAACTTATTATAGCTTTTCATAATTTTTCAGAACCTGTAGTTAGGTTTTCTTGTAAGTCAATTAAAAAACTTTGTGCTTGTTCGACCGATTCTTCTATTTTCTAAATGGCATTAAACTAGTCAATCGAATGTTTTGAGTTTGGGTGTGATCTGTTAAGAAGGACAATAATAAGAGCATTCTTGTTATTTAGTTTATGTATGGGGGAAAAAAATTCTCAAGCTCGACTAAGTTGGTTACAATTTTTAGGAAGTCCCAAAGAGTTGAACTTTAAACCACATAGTTTGCAGCCAGCTGTTGATTCAGTCATTCTAATTGGGAATCTTCTTCCTCTTTTAAATGCATCTTAAAAAAATTTGTTCAACATCAATTTGTGATTGGGTGCTTCTGTAAACAGTCAGATATTCTGGTTTGGGGATTTGAATTACCGTCTCAAGATGTTGGACGCAGAGGTTAGGAAGCTTGTTGCAAAGAGACAGTGGAATGAACTTCTCAATAGTGATCAGGTGAGACTTAAAACACAAACTTTATGCAAATATGATTCTAAATCTCAAAACCTGCCTACTTTCTGCGTGATTGTAATTAAAAAAAAAAAAAGAAGATAAAATGTGCTATTGGTAAAACTGCGGACCAAATTCAAATATGGATCTTATTTGATATCTAGGACTGTAATTGGTGTCTAATTCATATTAATATATTATATCTCTAAGAAGATTTTACCCACCAGGGAAGAGTCTTTGGAATTTTGGGCCTTTAGGGGCAAAAACTTCAATTCTCGGGCATTTTTTTTTTAGAAAGGGCTACAGGAATTCTGATATTGTATTTTAGAAAGTTAGATTACATATACTAGGGCCTCTTTGTTCAGAGATCATAATTCTTGAATGGAAGTTGATGGGAGTGTAATTCTTGGGCATTTTTATTACAATTTAGTCAGTTGTCGAATCGATGGATCTATCATCTATCAACTAGTCAATGGCTTTTTTTCTTTTGGGGTGTATGTGCGACTGTTGTTGAGAATATTAATGGATAATTTGGATCATTTTTCTATTATATTTTGGGAAAAACACCCCTAGTATTTATGATTATTGTTTTCCTCTTCGAAGGATGCCCCTCAATTTTTTTGTTTTGATATATTCATGGTTTGTCTTGAAATGAGGAATTGACTCAAGGCAACATGATGCAGCTTATCAGAGAACTTCGCCGTGGGCATGTATTCTATGGATGGAAGGAGGGAGTGATAAATTTTCCACCTACTTACAAATATGCATTTGACTCTGATAGATATGTTGGTGAAAACCCAAAAGAAGGGGAGAAAAAGAGATCTCCAGCATGGTAAGTATGACTTTCTTGTATAGCAAGACTGCAAAACCTGGAATTGAAGAAATAAATTAGTAGGGAGAAATATGACATAAATGTGGTGCATATTGCCATTTTGTTCCAAGCATCAGAAATGCCACAATATGTAACAAGATGGGCTCAATTAAATTGACTCAACCTAAATTCAGTACGACTAGTTTTTTCTGATCCTGACTCAAGTCACTCAGCTGACACGACTTATGATAGTATTGAACAGAAATTCTGCCAAGCATTCTTATATCCGGATAGAGAGAGACCTGTTTTCACCAACTTAAATCATGAAATTATATAATTGAGCATTGACAGTGTGATTGTTGATATAGAGTCACCTTTACGAGGCCTTTGTCCCCAGTATATAGGTAGTTGTTAATACATACTCGGTATGTTGTGCAGGTGTGATCGTATATTATGGTTGGGGAAAGGCATAAAGCAGCTTTCTTATAAGCAAGCAGAGATAAGGCTCTCAGATCATCGGCCAGTCAGTTCAATCTTCCTGGTTGAAGTCGAAGTCTTTGACCATCGGAAGCTCCAGAGGGCCCTCAATTTCAGTACTGCAGCAGTCCATCCTGCGATTTTTCTGGATTAAAGACGGAAAACTAACTTAGTTGATTGCGCCAGACAAGTGATCAAACATCACAAAAAAAAGTGAGTGATCATCAATACCACTGTTTTGCATTCTTGAAAAAATAATGTGCTACTCATTTACCTTTCAAAAAAATAATAGTAATCATGTGCTACTTAAAAATGTAATGTATGAGAGATTCCATCTCTGATAGGTAAGGAACTCTTCTTCGCTAGTAAATTTAAGTAATTTTTTCTTCATAGTTAGAGGATCTAGGTGGTCCAATTAGGGTACACGTATTGGATACATATTTCATAGCCATGTTCATGTTGTGTCATGTCGACATGGGCACGTTGAGGGTAACGGAAGAGTTCAGGTAACGTGTTATCAATGTCTAGGTTAACTGGATGAGGATATATGTTATTGATCTCAATTTTGTCTTTACAACAAAAAAACATAATACATTGCTGTACAAATCGTTCATACCAAGAGAGAGTGATCTAGAGCTGCCTAAGTTGTCTCAGTTCACACTTGCATGCACAAATTAGACATCTGTTTGGTGATTACCACTTGGGAGTTCTTATGTGTGGAATACAATAACACATTCATATATTTATACAAAGATGTATATATTTTTAGGATTTATACCTATTTATTCCAACAAACTTTCCGTTGCCATTTCCGAAATCTAAATGATTTCCCATCAGCGTTCCTACTGCAGAACTGTCATATATCCTAAAACATCAGTAGTTCAATGGTAAACTCTCTGGTTAATTGAACTTCTAAAGAAATCACCATTGATGCTTACCATGTTGACCAGTCACATTAACATTTTTTCTACTAAATATCATTACTAATTGAAACTCACTGTTTATTTTGATATTGATACTTCAAAGAATATAGAATAATGTTAACATAGGTTTGCTGTTGTATTTCAAAGAATATAGAATAACACATGCTCTCTTTTTTTATTTTTTAAAGACCTCCCATTCAAGCAGGGTAAATAATTATAGCATGGAACTGCAAGCCCTTTTGACGGCCGGGAAGATCTAGCTCACATAACAAACGAGGATCAGCATGCAAAATTCAACATTTTCGAGACGATGACAAGGAATAAGAGTGGTGTGTGGAGGATTCAGAAAATGTAATTTGTGAAAATTTTGGTTTATGTTGTAGTTGAGGAGTTTCTGGGATATGATATTCAACACAGTGGGAATTTTAGGGGTGAACCCCTAAAGGTATATATGGTAGACAGGAACCTTGTGTTGCGTTGTTTAATGGGTATGGTTAATTTGAAACCTATGTTTGTACATAATACATATCTCTTTCTTTTTCACTTTTTGGGAGGAACTTGTACCGGACTAACCTTGATGAAAGATTTTTTTTTTTTTTCATTTTTGTCTTGATAAAGTTGGTTGGCTTGCAGTTATTTTGAATGTCACCCAAATTTGCTTACATTTAGATTTGTTTTCCCACATGAAAATATATAAAACCTACTTGATTTTGATCGGGAGGGTTTACGAAACCATGTGCCATATTAAATTGAATCCATAGTAAATCCTATTTTCGAACAAAACCAGTAATAAATCCTTGTTGACAATTGAATCCAATTTTTCCGACAAAAAAGGTGGGACAGTAAGTTGTAAGCCTAGAAAACCTAAAAAAACAATGGGGGAATATAAAATCCAATTGAAGGTGGGATAGAGCCTTGAGCTTTTTGAGTTAGACACTGTAGACATACACACTATATATTAAGTTTCAGAAATCACAACTATAGCATTGGATACCTATGGTATAAGACACTACTCATTACTCTTTTGTTAAAATCTTTTTTCATTAGAAAAAAAAAAAAAAGATAAGGATGAAATAAAAAATAGATGACTGTATATGAGTTACTAAAAGTCGACGACATGAAATGAATGTTGCAGAAACATCCTTTGATTAAGTGTAGACATATAGATTGAGACGTTACTAAGTTCTTAAAGCTATATATGACTGAGACATACTATATAATAAGATCTTAACATAGATCTGACAACAACTATTAGACAAAAAGCCATAAACAAACAAACAAACAACACACTGCTATGAGTGATATATATATATATATATATTAGAGACCATATAAACTAAGATACATATTCAATAGATGCATTCATGTGAGGCTCACCTTACTTTCATCCTATCTAAAACCTTTATTCGAAATATCATTTTCATAATTAATGGTTATAGTACATGAAAATCACAGAATATAGAGCCATCTCATCCACCAAATGAAAGTCAAATAGTTTTGTCACAGCACAACTCTATTCTCATTATTATTTCTATCATTGTGACATATGGATTGACATCAGTGACTATTAGCATGTTAGGTAATGTCAAGTGGATGTTTGATATTTGAATGGGCCATAAAAATGGTACAATAATAATTGAGACGCCTTCAAAATGATTGGCTACATACATTTCACTCCAACAACTAGATCGAGCAAGGACACGTCTCCATTGCAAAAACACAATTCCATGTGATTCATTTGGCCCCACAAAGAAGTTGAAGTAACTCTCTCTCTCCCTGCTCAAGAGAATTCAAATTTTCCTACTAAAATAAAAGAAGAAATTAGGAGGTAATTTTTAGATTACAATGACAATCAGTTATAAATCCTAAAAATCAAATCAATATATAAAAAGTAACCACAAAAGAAAAAAAAAAAAAAAAAAAAAAAAAAAAAAAAAAGATTTAATTCTTTTTCAAAATATTATTTATCATGGTTTCACAATACACTGCCTAGTCTGACTAGGGTCTGACAAGCTACAAAGTCATCAACAAGCCCTACAGTCAATACACTTTTATTTGTGCATGGCTTTGAATTCCCCCCAAAAAAAAAAAATTTTAAAAAAAAAAAAAAACAAGCAAGAGAAAAAATAAAGAGAAATGCTCTGCCAGCCCAGTTGACATTGTGCTTATCTGGCCAGAGACAGCGAGGTTGTGTGTGTTGGTGTGTATGGGTTGCCTTGTACCCGGCGAGTAAAGAGGGAGGAAGTTGAGAGGGGAAGTAAATAGGTGTAGGAAACAAATCACAAGGATCATGAGAGAAGAGACAGGATAGTTTCCACCACCCATGTATGGATTAGGAGGAGGCAGCCACCAATTCCTTCAACAATCTGATTCACTGAAAAATGCTACTCACAGAACAATCATCATGAACACGCCATATAGTTTCACCCAACAGGTTTGCTACAGAAAGAACTGTCAACTGAGGAAAGTAGTTCTTCTCCATTACTGGAATTGTGTTTGTAATGATGACCTCTTGAAACAGACCACTCGACAACCTCTCAATCGCAGGAGGGCTGTGAAGGAAAAAAAATTTGTTACAAGGGAGATCATACAAGTATTTCAATTAACATAGCAGATGGCCAGCATATGATTGCATCACTATTAACTTTCACATACTTTTAAATAAATGATTTGCAACAAGGAGTTGGAAATTATGGAAATCCACGGGCACAGCAATTCCAGACTAGGTATGTGATCGTACAACACAGGTAGACAATAGCTCATCAAAAATATACCCAGAAATCCACCCCTCTAGACGAATAATTACAATTTTCTCACAGTTATACCATTCATTGAATTGTGCTAACTATGTGACTTTCATTTTCTGGGTTTAAAAAGATCTCTTATTATGCACCTAGCAATTCTCAGCCTCTTATGTTAAGAAAACACACCTACTTCTCTCTCTCGGGAATCAAAGAGAGTTAAAAGGGGGGTTAAGTGCAAAAAAACACGATATATAGAGTTTGTGCAGAACTAGTCCCTACTTTTTGAAAATGTGCATGTTAATCCATAAAATTCAAAAAATGTGCAAATAAGCCCCTCTGACCACTTTTTGACAAAAACTAAATATGAAAACACTCTATTTTACCCTTTTGATTCCCATTTTGCCCCTCACCCATATGTGCATATAAACCCAGGCTACAGTGGAAACTCTGGCAAGAGGATAGATACAAATATATTTAATATTCATTTGGAACGATTCTGTTAGTCTTATAGGGTAAGTGGTTTGTATATTAGGATGCTGGTGAATAATCTTCTTTTAGAAATTGTTTTCTATAATGAAGGATAAGATAATATTAGGATGCTGATGAATAATCTTCTATTCGCCCCTCTCTCTCCTCCCCTCTCTCTCTCTTGTGATATATATATATATATATATATATATATATATTAATTCCTTATGCTGTAATTTTTTTAAAATTTTTTATCAATTTAATAGACACATAAAATAAAAATAAAAATAAAATTATAATTATAATTCAAATTATGTTAGGGTAAACACAATGGAATACCCTAAAGTGTGTGGCGGTTTTGCGACAGGAGGCAACAGGAGGTGGCGGCCATGGTAGGGAGGAGGTGGGAGAAGGCAGCGGCCATAGTGCGGAGGAGGCGGCATGGGCAGTAGGAGGTGGGAGGAGGAGGCGGCGGCCATGGTGGGGAGGCGGCAGCATGGGTAATTTTGGGAATTTTGTTTTTTTTTTTGGATCATCACCACATACACAATCTAGGTAATAAGGTTAGCCAACCAACTCCTACTTCTCACCATTGGATCCTCTTTTTGCTGATATCATTCACCCGCCTTGATTATCTGATTCTCAAACTCAATTAAGAAATTCATTCGTATAATTCATAAATAGACTCATTCTCGAATCGCGGAAAGCAGACATATGTTTCCGAAACCCTCGTGAATAGCCTTCTCATTTTTAGATCATATATATCTTTGCCTCAATTTTGTGATCTGACACCTTATTGGAAGATGCTGCTTCGTAGCTACAACTATCATGAGGTCTTTTCTTGTAGCCAGTGCTATCATATGGAATTGAACAGACAGATCCTCCTCTAGGAATCAAAGACCCACAGACAGCATTTTGAGTTGCTTCATCCTCATCTTGTGCTTTCGAACTCTCATAGTAGGAGGCTTAGCCAAAGCCAACTTTGAATTTTGTCTTTTTTTTTTTTTTTTTGATAAATAGTGCTACAGTGTGTGCCTTATATAGTAGGGCACTGTTTGGTTTCGGTTTTTATTATATCCAGTTTTAGGTTTCTTTGGTTTAGCTTATCCCAATTTTATACAAATTGAGATTTATTTTATTCTTGTCCCAAACAAACATAATTTCACACAAATTGGACAAAGGGATCCTTGTACATGGCCTGTATTTATAGTTATTAATTTATTCAACTGAAATGAGGGTATATCATCATTTTATATCACACAGGGACCTATTTGCACCAAATTGATAATATAGGGAGGTTTTATACCACAGAGGGACCTTTTTGCCTATATCGATAGTAGGGGGGAGTTTTTTGCACTTGACCCTTAAAAGGTTCATGGAAGTTGGGCAAAATAAAAAATGGTGATGTTGTCATCTTTCAATGGAATAATCAGAAAGTGAGCATTTCCATAAAAACTAAGAGCTCATGAAAGTGATTAATATTCTCAAAATTAATCACATCACTGGAGATTGGTCGACTTAGAAACATTAAACAGCCGAAAAAGAAGATCAATGCCATGGAAGTTGTTACCTGAAAACAGCATGAGTGCTGCAAGCATAGACTTCTCTGGCCCCTTCTTCATGTAATAGAGCTGCACCTTTTGCAATGGTCCCTACACACATCAGTAATCAATTTTTAATTACAATAATTTCAAGAATGCCTTTGGAGAGTTGAAAGAAACCCCCTTTTTGCTTCTTTATATGAGGGAATTGAAAATATATATCTGTATGTATATATATATATATATATATACTTGGAAACATCATGTCTCTTACAGAACCTATCTATCGAACCAACAAAGCATTCATTATGGCATAGAAGGGAAAAAAACCTAAATAAATGATTTATTAGAATAACTGTAAAAGTTGATACGCATATGAAGGATAATTGCTCATTGGACCAAACACTTAAATTTGAGCAGAGAGACAACACGCAGATGGACTGAAAAATTTCAGGAGTCATGCCCTCATTAGGAAGTGATAGACAATTGGCAATGATCAAGGTCAAAAGGGAAACATAGGTTACAATTTTTGGAGCATTAATTTTTTGGGCAACTTGGCAAATAGAAAAACAATCATCAATGCAGCAATAGAAACACGCTTTCAAGAAATTATTTTCCTCCCACTTCCATCATTTCTAATTTATCATTTTATCTATAAAAGGATATTTCATAAACTGCAACTCAACATCAAAGGACAACACTTACCAGCAGTGTCAATCATGTCATCCACCATAACTGCAACTTTTCCTTTAACATCACCAATCAAATTCATTACCTACAAGATCACAATAAAAAAGTAGAATTAAGGACATCAAGATCTTTATGGAAGATAATTATAAACAGTTGCATAACACATCATCTTTTCAATCATATCTATTAAACTTAGTTGTAAATAAAACAATCAAATTCTCATGCTTTGGAAAGGAAAAATTACATTTTCAATCACATTGTGATCTATTTTATGATGAAACCCGACATAACTTTGATGAAAAATATTTTGAGACTAATGTTGCTCCTATACAAACCTACTTGCATACTTCGGTGTGTTACAAGACAAGCTATTGACCACACTATCAAATGAATCAGATCCATTCAGGAGAGTCTGGTGAAGGATTTTGATCATACGATTCCTGTAGGTTTTTAATTTGTTAATCAAAACCATCAATGAATTTAATCTGTGTGGAAAATGAGCTTATGAGCTCACACCTTTGCATACCTAAAATAGGATAATAAGTGGAAATGGTAGTCAGTCGGCAAGCAAAAGATCATTACGTGTTACGGCAACAATAATAGTCAGAAATTACACATTCCATTTAACTGAATACTCTCTATCTCAAATACATGCACATATAGAATATTCCTTATTTTGGTTGATAAATAAGATCAATCAACCAAACAAAACAAATGAGAAGCAGATTGGGCCAAAGTCAAACAATCATAAACTTCCAACAAATCCGTTGTGGATCTTCTTCACATACAACATTCCCTTCGTATCACTTAAAGGTGACTAGAGCCTCTTGCACTTGTATCAATTACCAAAGTCTCCAATAAATACAGTTGTTTAGTACTAGGAAATTTCAGAGAATATAAACCAAATATATGGCTTGAAGGTTAAATGTTTAATTAGCAACATGAAAGCTGTTACCAATCTGAAAAAACATCTTAAAATACCCCAATCAATCTCGTAGATAAATTATTTATCAAATGCAGCCGGCATGTTACATGTTGGTACTGAAGGGTGGAGAAAGCAAGAAAATGCAAAAAAAAATCACATAAGAGGACTCGATCAGAAATTACCTCCGCGACATTGTGTCCATGACGCCTTTTATCCACAATGGCTAAAGGTGCATCAGATAATTTTTTCGCAAAAGCACGTGCTCTAGCAACTCCTCCAACATCAGGTGAGACCACTACCAAATCATTAGAACAAATTGTCTTGCTGGCAAGATAATCAAGAATCACAGGCTGGTGCAAACAAAAAGCAATGGTTAAGGCTCAGGAAGCACAAAACTAGTTAAAGCCGAGAACTCAAAACCATGGACTAATTACCTGACAGTATACATGGTCAACTGGAATATCAAAGTAACCCATGGACTGCCCAGAATGAAGATCACAAGCAAGTACGCGATCTGCACCTGCTTCTGTGATTAGATTTGCTACAAGTTTCGCAGCAATGGATTCACGCCCTTGAGTCTGAGGACAAAAACATAGATGGAGACAATAAAACATGTCATATTTCTATCAGCCTACTAAAAATACAATATGGTACATATTTTTCAGACAGTCATTCCTTTGAAATACAAACTGACCAAGACATTTAGTAAAAAACCATGGTATGCAGGCATATACCTGTATGTAATTCAGTGGGGGCAATTGTCCCCAATGAATTTTTTTTTTTTAAGTATTATAACCTTGTGATTTTTTCTTTCTGAATTATATACCTATCAAATTTCACTATTGCCCCCACTGAAATTACTAAACATTCACTATTGTCCCCCCTCAAAAAAATTTCTGGGTCCGTCCCTGTTGGTATGGAAAATGTTCTGTAATCAATGACAAAACAATAATGAATTGCTGCAAAGCTCACAAACAGAACTACAGAATCATTTTGATTTTTTACTACTCAATCCACCAGCTTAGAACAGAAATGGAAAGAGTGGACGGGTATTAAACGGTTGCACATCATGTTGGTGTGATGATACACCTCTCCTGATCACCTGTCAGGAGACCAGGCGAAAATCACAAATCTTCAATATGTATACTTGCTGTATATTCTTTGTTTCGTTTGTAATCTGTGATTTCCAACTTTGTTCAAACCATAAACTAATCACAGATAGGTTTATTTACACAGCACCATAGTTTAGATTACCTTCCTATCAGCTCGGGCATATCCAAAATATGGAATCACTGCTGTGATGTTTTTGGCTGATGCCCTTCTACAAGCATCTATCATTATAAGAAGTTCCATAAGATTTTCATTTGCTGGGGGGCAGGTGGCCTGCACCAAGTACACATCACACCCTCTAACGCTCTCTTGCAACTGAACATAAATTTCGCCATCAGCAAACCGCTTTATGTTGATTTTTCCCAGGTCAAGGCCCATATACCAAGCGATTTCCTAAATGATAAAATGATGGTGAGCAAACAAAAGAACAAGTACCAGGGATCAAAAGAATTTTTAAAGCTATAAAAAGATAGAAGAGACAAAATATATTTTTCATAGTAAATTACAATTGTAAACATCCTTTAAGGAATAAACCAAACACTTCCTAAATATTTTCATTTATTATTCCTTCTCTTAACCTGTTTGGTGGTAGGAAGGAATGCATAATGAGTTTTGATTGGAAAATTAAGAAATTGTATCCTTGTAAAAGGAAGTTGCATTCAACATCATCAATGGTGGGAAATGTAAATGCAATCCATCAAAATCCATAATGTGTCATCAACTTCAAGTCTTCATTAACTTGTACAAGTTTTAAACGCCCAATTGAGTGCTTATGAAAGAAATATGATTGATTGTCAACAAAACAAAAATGTAAAGGTCAGCAATGGCAAGGACCCAATCTATGAAACACGGACACGTGTCATGTCCATATCAGATACCAACACTCCTCAAATACTCACAAATATGTGTTTGATACTTAATAAAATTATCCATAATTTGAAAATACTGGAATTTTTTTGGTTTCTTCCACGAATTTGATACTTCTCAAATAGTTCAACCATCTATCTAGTACTTTTCAGATACTTCGCGAAAGATGTTTAACATGTCTAAAACATTAAAATGTAACTTTTTCCAAGTATAACATCATAGCATAACTGTTAGGTAAAGCTTAGAAATTCTTCAGAAAAACAAGTAATTGAAAATTTGAGAAATAATGAGAATACTTATCCTAAAATAACTCTCAGCTCACAGTTCTTTTGTCATAAAAAAATGTATCTTTTTTTTTTTTTTTTGATAGTAAAAATACATATAACATGATCTTATAAGAAAAAATTGATATAATATGACAAAAATTATAATTTTGAATTTATATATGCATGCAGGCAAGCGAACATATCCATGAAAACAAAGCATAATAGAAAAAAAGAGAATAAACAATGACCTTACATGGTAGTAATCTATTTCAGAAGACAAAAACAAACTGCACAAGCTATAATTTTCCCTCAAAATTTATTGGATGAAGGGAATTCATTTCTGGAGTTAATGTATAAGAAAGACCCAAAGTTCGGAGCACATTATATTGCCAGATGAGAGTGAGCTTTATGTGAATTTTAGAGACCTTGTACAAAAGTACTTCATACAGTGCCATAGCTAAACCATGTTGTCCTAATGCTTCCACAATGCCAAATCTACCAAATAAGAGATACAAAGAGAAGCACTATATAGCATAGTTTTATCTCCACCATTCCAGATGTTGCAACAAATTTAAATTGAATTGAATACAGTGTTTTACCTGAGAAAGTGTGGGATTTGCAGTGCCAGAGAATATTTTCAGTCTGGTATTAGTTCTGTTCACTGCATTCTCCAGGCGATTGGACTCCAAGAACTTGGGCCATGTTCCTTCATTAACGATCGGAACACACGGCTTTCCATTCAATGGTGCGCTCATATCACATTTCTAACACAAGAAAACCCACTAATAAAATTAAAATAAAAAATCAACTAAATCAAATATACATTGCATACACTAAAAAAAAAAAAAAAGACGGTAACACAAATTACTAATATATATCATGGAAAACACATAACTAGTAACTAGTTTCGATATTCAAAAAAATTAACAAATCATTTTTTTCAAAAGTAATATTTCCCATAGATATTTATAATTGAATCATAAAAATCATAAGAAACAACAAAATAAACCCATCTCGAAACATGAATTTTTATGGAAATTATAATAATAGAATAGAAATTTAAGAAAGAAACTCCTGAGAAAACCAAAGAAAGTAATTTTCATGGCTCATTATGCGGCACGGACAATGGAAGAGCCTTCACGCGACTGAAAATAAATGATGCATTTCTGTACCAAAATCAAAACAATCAAAATAAAAATAAATAAACAAACAAATATTGGAAAATTCTAACTTTCTCTTATTCTTCCCAACTTTCTCGGCAACCAATCAGAAGCAGATGAATTAGTTAATCATCATATATATATAAATTAAAGATAGGAAAATATACCACGCCATGTGGAGCATTGATTCGAAAACGAAACTCGTTGGAACAGAAGCTTTTGTTGTTGAGAGAGCAACGAGAAAACAGAGATGATGATAAAGACGAAGACGCCGTTGAAGACGATGAAGGCGAGGGCAAAACCAGAGAAGCCATAAATATATATATATATATATATATATATATGTATGTATGTGTGTGTGTGTGTGTGTGTATCTGACTCTGTGTCCGTGATAGGTTTAGGGTTTCAAATGTGTGTGTGACTGTGTGTGCTGGGGGCTGTGAGAGAGAGAGAGAGAGAGGGGGGAGCTCTTTTAAGCTTCTCTTTTTTGTATGGCGCCACTCTGTTTATAAACGGATTTGGTTTCGTGGCGAAGAGCTTGGCACAGTTGGCATCTGATAAACGACGTCGTTGGTTACCTGTGACCCCGTCCAAACAAGTCGGATATGAGTCAAAATCAAAACTACCAATGGTCCAACAATGAACAACTTTAGAATACTACTTTTATTCAACGACTGCCACGTGGCTAGTGTGAATTCACTGAATTGTGGAAACAATTTTCCATCGATTATGGTTTGAAAAATGTGAAATAACACCCTAATATGGAAAAGGAAATCATGACGTTATTAACCTAGTCAAGTTATATTTGGTGGGTCATAGAAAATTATTATATTTTCCAGCGTTAATGGTCCCCATCTATCATTAATTAATCCACAAACATTTGCTGATTTGTATTAAAAATAAATGTTATAAATTTCTTACCGCATTTGTACATTATACAAGGAAAATGATTTTAGAGGCATCGTCAAATTTAGAAAACTATAATGAAAGCAAACATGGATACTTCTCGGTTGGGGTTTGTTTTTTTTTTTTTTTTTTTTTTGGATACATCTAGGTTAGTGACGGAATTGAAATTGATTGAGAGTATTTTTAATATTTAAAAAAAAATAAAAATAGGGATATTTTTAAAATTTTAAGTAATTTTGTAAATAAAAAAATTCACCCACTGAGCTCTTATTGGGCCGTGCCAGCTACTACATCTCCATGTGAGAGTGATGAGGTTGCCAGTTATCTTTGTTTTTTCTTCAAGAATGTGAATCTCATCGCCTCCTTCTTGAAAAAATTCTGAGACCAAATTTAGAAAAGACAATAGGAACTTAATGTCACTATAATCGTATATGTAATATAGTATATTATGTCCTCACCGGTGAGAAAGTGTACACCATCTCCATTGTTAATATGGAATAATAATAAATCAACACAATTTTTTCCGTTATCAAATTAAAAATGGTACGAGTACATGTTCACTTACTAAATTAAAGATAGTGTGTACCCATCTAACTCTGATTTGGTAATTAAAAAGATGAAACGGTGTATGACCCATCTATCTCTTATTTAGTAATTAAAAAGATTGTCTATTTGTTATTGGTCCATTTTAGCATATAAAATGTTGTACCTTATATATCTTCACCGGTGAGGACCTAAATATTGAACAATCAATATTTAGGTTCTTACTAGTAAGAATCTACAACATCTTGAGTCCTGATTGTTGATGTGGATTACTAATAAATTGACATGTTATTTTTAATTATCAAATCAAATATGGTGGGTAAATACTTACTTACCAAATTAGATATAGTGAATTTGATTATTATTAATAATTTGATAATTAAAATAGAACGTATCCATTTATAATTGGTCCACACCAGCAGTGAGTATGTTATAAATTCTCACTAATAAGGACTTAAGTATTGTCATAATATATATAATATATATGTATAAGGTAAGTTGTGTAAATATTATTATTATTATTATTTGGTTCAGATTAATAATTGAATCTCCATAATATATTATCGTAATAATTTCTTAAAAAAAAAAAAGAGCATATAATTGTGAGTATAATTAATTTGAAATTGTTTACTTTGACCATTCACTTCAATATCATTCCAACCAAGTCAATTACGTGAGAACAAGAATGACTTCAAATTGGACACGTAATTGTAATTGAATTACCAACTGTCATCAACTAGAACAAGTATGCAATTGGAACGCACTTCTTCAACTAAGACAAGACATATTTCAGTTACATGCATGATACACGAATATTAGGTCTTATAACCAAATAGCTGGAAACTTCACATAGAAAAACTTGTTGAGCACGAGTGTATTGTGCACCTCACTTACATCAGTAATGTGACTCATTGGTATGGTCCACGTTTTTTGTGAGTGAAGTGCACCATCCTAGGCTCAAACAAAATTTTCTCCGATACGTACAGACATATATTTCTTTTTCACCGTTTATAAGAATACATGAGATAAAAAATTAAGACAAAACTTATTATACATAGTATATTCCATAAGCATATAATTTGAATCATAATCTATGGGATAAACTTACTTGTATTAGTGACGTGATATCAATAACTGATTAGATATTGATACGTAATAATAAGACCCACTAAAATAAAATATTTTTACTCATGTGACATAATACAATAAGTTGATAATATAAATAACGAAATATTAAAGGTGAATGAGAGTTTTTCTCATAAATCCACCCCCTTACACACATGGTCCATTGAGTGATCTTAACCTTTGTTTTTTTATTTGTAACCACTCTCCTTAATTAATTCAAGTTGCCAATTAATCACAAACAACCCTCTAAAAGAGTCACCCCCAAGGTTAGGTTGTGAGCATAACTAGAACTTCGAAATAAATAAAGAAATTTAAAAATCGAAAAAAATAAATAAATAACTAAAAAAATGCCTCTGCATACGAGAACAAATATCGTGCAAATGCGACCATCGTGCATTGAATTTTCCCTTTAAATAAATAGAATTAAAAATCTCAATATAAGTTCTCCTTGGTGGATGAGTAATATTGTAGTGAAGTAACTAATATCATTTTCTTATGTACAAACACAAGCGGATAGGATCCACAACAAAATTATCTTTTGTTCCACTGATATAGCATTTTTTGGTAGGTTATTGAAATCCACTAACTTAAGATTCCATTAATGATGAGTAAATAACCTTTGCATAATAAATAAAAATTAAAAATTAAAAACTTTTACATAACAATGTCTTTCTAACCATTTTGTCATTCATTAATTTTGTTCATTGCCTTCCCATATAGATACTTTTAAAGCATAAATCTTCTCCAATATTAGTTCTATCTGTTACAGTTTGATCATCCCTTGGATTTGAATGACTAATTTCACAATTCGCATAACTTTTTCATGCTTTAATTCATTGTCTTGAATAGAGCTACTTATAATACACACACACACACACACACATTCTTACATGATCATTTTTATAGATTTTCTTGTTGAAAAACTTAAACATGTTAAAATCATTTTGCTACTAATTCCAGATGCTCTATTCAAGTTGATGAACTGTAAAACCGAAATGTTACACGAGACCATTTGAATTATAAGAAACAACCAAACAATCCTTTATTTTACCATACTGAAGCATGCTAGCATAATCGATTTTGTTATGAATCCATTTAGTAATTTATGATTTTCTTTTTTAAAAAAAAAAAAAAAATAGAAAATTTATAAGCATGATGAGTCACATTGTTACCCAAGAAACAACTGAGCAAGCTTCACATGCTTGGAAGATCCAATTCAACCAAAACCAGACAATCTCTTGAGACCATCCATATACAATAAGAGCATGTTATTGGTTGGTATATCCTTACCAACAACCCGAAAATCGGTTCCAAAGTTTTCATCTGAACTTTGAAATTTAGGCTTGCCATGAGAATAAGCCTCAAGCTGCTGTTCAGACCACCAGCAAAAATGGAGCCAGAAATTGGTTTCATTACCCTGCCTCTGGAAGTTTGTCTGCCGGTTCAGATTCCTGGGAAAGAATTGGAATTTCAAACGGGGAAATCTTACTAGAGCTCTTTGTTCTCAAAAGCAAAGATCAAGTTAACATTGAAGTTTCTAACAATTTCACTAGATACTATAGAGTGCTTATGAAAATACGTTCGCGCACGTATGTGGGCACACACAGATGTGGAACCTTTTGAGACTGAGATTTCTAATACCTTTTGAGAGAGTTGGCCCCTGGATAAAGACTTCAGTTGGCAGCTTTCAATATTTTCAAGTAACTGGGTTACGGTTTTCAGATGCGGAACACTGCAAAAATCAAATTTGAAGTAAACCAAGATAAGAAAATCAGTAACGAAATGCCCTGTTAATGATCACATATCAATATTATCTGAGGGCAAAAGCGAGGGTTTGCTGTCGAAAACCAATAAGCTTACCATGTTTGTTGGGTGCATGTTCAACCAAAAATGGTGCAACAAAATGATACATTTTAATGAGAGACACAAATCAAAAGAAAAAAAAACATTGCACTGTAGAATTGATGAGCACGCTCAAATTACCAGACTTTTTCAGATAATAGGGAAAATAATTAATGCAATTCGCATCAAATTATTCCAGTACCTCACAGTACAAAGACATGGTTAGCATAATCACGTTACACATTCTAGTTCTGTAAGCCTAGAGCAGGTTATGATACATCAGGATTGAAACTCATGATGCACAATTTTCATATTTTGTTGTAAAATGAGAATGGCTTTCAGTGAGATAATAAAGAACACTACAACTTAAATTGATAAAGGGGCACATGAAAACAACCTTTGCAATCCATTCTCCATGTGTGCATCCAAGGATGAAATTACCCGAGGCATCTGCTCCAACACCTGCATCAAATAAGACAGAAACAAAGAGATAAGAACACATACATTTGCCACAGGCATTCTACATTGAAGTATCATTCAATGGATCTACGTACCAGCTCAGTGTTCTTAATTGTGGATGTTTTAGCTAAAAGGTTCTTTGGAAGCTTAGCCAGATGGACCTGCAGATGAGATAATGAATAAAATACACGAGTGAGCAAACTAATCAAAAATATATATACATGAGGGAGTATGCACAGTAAACCATAGGCGGATCATAGATAAAATGGGTATTTTTGCTTCTTTACATTAGGAGTATGGCCTTTTGTATATATTGCATGTACTTTGATGCACTTTTGGCACTTATTAAAAAATCAATTTTAATTATCAACAAAGAAAAAAAAGAAAAAGTCAAGTACAATGTTGATGAGAAATGAATTAATATGACAGTGGAATAGTATAATCACATCTGGAAATTTTTTAGTCCGAGTATATTGCACCTTACTGAAAATCAATTTGTCATACTAAACTTAAGCGTATTTGAAATGATTTATACTTTCATTTTTCACATTTTGATCAATGATACACTGCTTGATGAATTTTTTATTTAGGAAAAAAAAAAAAAAACCCCACATCATTTTCTGTCAGTAATATCTATCAAATCCTATCGCATTTAACATGTCTTTTCTCGAACCTTCAATATGAGCTCTCTTTTTGCTCTTCCTCTTTGTATTTGCAAAGCCTTGGACTTGGACTGGTAACTCCTCCCTAATGTATGTAACAATCTTGACCTCTATTGACATGACCATATACCGTCTTAAACAAATAGTTCCCTCATGCACGCGATCATTTAGGTCCATCTAAAGCAACTCAAATCCATACCGTCTTGCTTCTCGTTCATCTCAACATCCAAATTACAGTGTACCGTCTTGCTTCTTGTTCATCTCGACATCCACATTACAATGCACCATCTTGCTTCTCATTCATCTCAACATCCACATTACAATGCACAGTCTTGCTTCTAGTTCATCCCAACATCCACATTACAGTGCACCGTCTTGCTTCTCATTCATCTCAACATCCACACTACAATGCACAATCTTGCTTCTCATTCATCTCAACATCCACATACAGTGCACCATCTTGCTTCTCGTTCAGCTCAACATCCTCACTTCAGTTACATCAATGAACAAATTTGGTATTTAATGTGATAATATATAACAGTAATTCTTGTACAAACATATATTCTCTTTATCGTAATGGCCATTTTACGTATTTAGACTTTCATAATTTTGGCAATATTTATGAGTTATGAGTTATATATATGACTTTCAAGTAAAAACCTAATTGCTAAATTGGCTTCCTCAGAACGAAATTAATATCAAACAGTTCGATTTCTAGGAAAGATCTATATGACAGAATTGTTACAATATACCACTGAGGTTGAAGGAAACAACAATTTAGAGAGAGAGAGAGAGAGAGAGAGAGAGAGAGAGAGAGTTGCCTGGGAAGGAGAGGATTGTAGCATGAGATGGAGGAGATTGGAGGTGGACTGAACGGCCTGAGATATTTGATCAGCCACCAAAGTTTTTGATGAACTTTCTCGGCTGCTCGACCCTCCTTTTCCTTCACCGCCACCGCCACCGCCGCCAGGTGATGTTGACGAAGGAGTCGATGGTTTCGCCATTTCCGTCCTCCCTCGAAGAATGCCAAAGATTGCTACTTTTTCAAGGATAAATTGCAAATCCAGTCAGGTTTGGGTCAAGTACCAGAGAAGAAGATGAAGCAAGGAGGATCGATCTAGGGTTTCGAAATTGCAAGTTGCAGAAAATGGGGCGAAATAGACCCGATCAATCTTAGGCTCCGTTTTTTCCAATCGGATATGAGTTACATCGGGTTTCAAGTTTCAATAGTGGTTGAAGTGGATGCATGATAAAAGAATGGGAGGTAAATCCCTCTTTTACCCACTCTTATTGGTTCCAGTCAGTCTCTCTTGTAGGAGTAAAACATGTATGGGCTCCCACCATTTTATAAATTAAGAAGTCATGGACTATTGCAATCGTTCAAAAGTTTAGGTCAGCGAATAATATTGTATACTCAATCATTTATATCTATTCATATTTTTATTCAGATTTAATGTGAAAGAAATTTTCCCTTTTTAAAGTGTGGATAATATTTTTGTCAATAAAATAAAAAATAAATAAGAGTTTAGTTAGCAAGAAAAGGGAAATTTTGAGGAAATTTTTTTTGATTTATTAAAAAAGTTTTATGAAGTTAAAATAATACCCTTTCTTTTATGGTAGTTCATGTTATCAAAATCATAAAATGATAATTTCTCATATTTTTGTTGAAAATTTTTCATGCTAAACAAATACATGATAAAAAATTTATTTTATTTTCTTTTACTTCCACTTTCTACCACCAATTTATATCTGACCAAACGGAGCCTATATTATTTGAATCGAGAAACCTGCTAGTATATAACTAATTTCCATACTGAACCACAAAATTGGAGGCAAAGCCCAGGAAGAGAACATGTAATTCTCATGAGTATGTGTAGTTTTTCCCCATATAAAATCACAAACAAAAATATAGTGCATACAATCCCATTAATGCGAACTTCTTATATTTAACGTGTATGATGAATATTACTTTCATTCAAAATTTTCATGCTAATGAACAGAACGATAATACACACACACACACACACAAATGACAAAAATTAATTGAAAGATGGCACAATTTGAATATTCCCCAGTAGAAATCACTGAGGAAGCACCTACTAGAGAGAAGATGTTGACCAGTACCTGTCCATTTGGTATCTTTATTAGCAGCAAACCAATGTTGCATATTATTTTTGGCCAGTGAAGGGTTTGTTTGGTTCTTCACAAACATTTTCAGTGGAAAATGTATTCTAAATTTAGGGCCTTTGAGAAATGATTGCTTTTTTTATTAAATATATATATATATATATATATATTATTGTTATTATGATTTATGTCAATTTGAAGGATGAAACAGAACTTTTAGTCCACTTCATATGCTTAGCATTGTTTTTTTTCCTAATTTCAAAATGATGCATCAAGGCTTTAGAAGCAAAAAGTACATATGAGTTTTATTCTTTATTAAGTATAGGATAACATTTTGATCATGTATTAAATAGCAGGTTGTGATATTCACATTACATTTTACAACAGGAATCTCAGCAAAGGTTTGAGTTGAGAATATTTTGTTGAGCAAGATCAACCAAATTGATTCGAGAAAGTTTCGTCAAAGTATGGACAACCTCATTGTCATGTCTACCCACATGACTAAGATGAAACGAGGGATGTTTCTAAAACAAAACACATATATCAAAAATAATCGAAGCAATCAAGCTTTGACGAGCCGATTTTTGGCCACCCCATTACAAACCTCAAGATTTTACAAAAATGTCAACACTGCCTTAAATAAAATAAAACTCACCAAAAAAAAACAATCATTTAGCCCAAAAGGTATTATCTCTGCTCCCAAAAATAGTGTTTGATATGGGTGTATGTGTGTTAATTTGAACAAACTGATTTTGTTTTCCTAAGAAAAGTAAAGTAAAATTTTCCAAAAGCTCACAATATTTACAAATATTATATCTTGCACTCTAATTGTTTTAAAATGCTAATTGCTTAATTAGCCTATTAAACAACACTTTTGGTCATATCACTCCTCATCTCTTAAAGTATAAGTAAGGTTTTAATATTTTTATTATTTTTGGAAAAAAAAAAAATGACATATAACAACTTCAAATTGTGTGTTAATAAAAAATAAAAAAATAATAAAAAAATCATTTAAAAAGAATTATTAACTATCAAGTGATATCATAATAAATCTATGGAGTAATATTTAATCCATAAATAGCTAAATAATAAGTTGGACCCTTTAAATCGTATTTATATTAATTTCAAAATTGTTATATATTTGTATTAAAGAGTATAATTTGCAGATCAGATCAAGTGTTCCGAAATTTGTCAATTAAATTCAAATTTTGTGAGTTAAGTGTCCCAATTAATAAAACATATTACGTATTTTAAATTATAAATAATAAACTAGCTATCGATTGACCAGCTCCTATTAAAAAAATACTCCTTCAAAAGCCCCCACAAGACACTGACAAAGGAAGCTTAATCGATCATGATGGCCAAATGCTGATTGGACCTTGAAAGGTAGACCGCCCTCGTGCTCTTCGTGCTTATATATATAATTGTATAAACATTATCGCAAGTCACGCGATGTACAGTAATCAATTACTACTAAAATATAATTTGAGTTTATTATATAAGATTTGAGAGAAGGGTCCCACTTGTTTTCTGGTGGTGAAAGAAGTGCCATGGGGAGCATCAACGTTCACTATTTTTTTTGGTTTTTTTCTTTTCCTTCTTTGTTTTTTTTCAAAAGCATCAAAGTCCACTTACTAGTTAAAAACTGCTACCACAACCAAAAACGAAATATTTGAAAAGTAAAAATAAATGATCTTTCACTAATTTCTCACTCTACAATTATGTGATGAATATTGTAAATATAAGAAAGTATATAATCTAGTGGATATTGTAAATATAAGAAAATATATAATCTAGGGTGAAAGAAGGATGAGAGAGAATTCTATTATGATTTAATTCTTTTCATTCAAGTGTATCCATATAATATTATATTACTCCTACAGGGGATGATGTTGACTATAGCAGTCATATGCACCAATCGTATTAGGTTCCTTCGTGACTTCACTTTTGGGCACCATCATTACCTTTGTTCAAGTTACCTTTCAATTCACAATTCAAATGCACTGACAGTGCATTAAAGAATGTGGAGCCCATATATTATAACACTCCCCCTTAAGATTTACAATGCTACACTAAGAACATGCATTATTAAAACCTTGTAAGGAAAACCCATTGGGACAAAACCGGAGTGAAGGAAAAAGAGTACAATATTCTTGTGTATCTGAAAAAGTATTGCATGGTTTAGAGCTGCCTCATTAAAACTTTGCCAAAAAATCCCATTGGAACAAAACCTGAGTGAAGGAAAAATAGTACAGTAAATGTCAATACCTTTTTAAGTACTCCCCCTCATCAATGCCAAATTTTTTTAAATTGTTGCATCCCAATGTTGTGTACTAATTTCTTGAATGCCGTGGTTGGCAGTGCCTTAGTGAATAGGTCTGCTAAATTTTCACATAAACGTATTTGTTGAATATCAATTTCACTATTCTTTTGGCGTTCACGTGTGTAAAACAAATTTTTGTGACATGTGTTTGGTTCAATCACTTTTGATATAACCCTCTTTCATTTGTGCAATGTATGCGACAATATCTTCATATAATACTGTGGAGCTATCTGTTATTGATGAGAAGCCACATGTTGATCTAATGTGTTGGATTATGGATCGTAACCAAATGCATTCCCTGCTGGCCTCATGAATCGCGAATATCTTATAATGATTTGAAGAAGTGGCAATCATTGTCTGTTTCATAGAGCGCCATGAGATAACAGTGTTACCACAAGTAAACACACACCCTATTTGTGATCGAGCTTGATGTGGGTCAAAGAGGTAACCAGCATCTGCATATCCAATTAACTAGGATTTTGATTCTTTTGAATAAAACAATCCCATATCAATTGTACCACGTAGATATCGCAATATGTGTTTGACTTCATTCCAATGTCTACGGGTTAGTGTAAGTTGATTGAAAAAGCAATGTCAGGTCGTGTGCAATTTGCAAGATACATAAGTGCGCCAATTGCACTAAGATATGATACTTCCGGACCAAGAAGTTCTTCATCATATTCTGAAGGTTAAAAATGATCTTTCTTAATATCAAGTGATCGGACAACCATTAGTGAACTCAAGGGATAGGTTTTATTTATATAAAAATGCTTGAGAACCTTTTCTGTATATGTTAACTGGTGGATATGGATTCCTCTTAATAAATGTTCAATTTGCAGTCCCAGACAAAAAGTTGTATTTCCGAAATTTTTCATTTCGAATTCTTTCTTTAAATAAGTGGCAGTCTTTAGGAGCTATTCAGAGGTTCCCACTAGATTCAAATCATCAACATATACTGTAACAATAGCAAAACATGATTCTATTTTGTTAATAAAAATGCATGGACAATGATGACTATTCACATACCCTTCTTTTATTAAGTACTCGTTGAGGTGATTGTACCGCATGCGCCCCAATTGCTTCAATCTATATAAGGATCGTTGTAATTTTATTAAGTACATATTACGTGGTTTTGTTTCTGGCACTTTGAAACCATCGGGAATCTTCATGTAAATATCATTATCTAGTGATCTATAAAAGTATGTCATTACCATATCTATTAGATGCATATGCAATATTTCTTTGATTGCCGAATGTATTATGAATCTAAAAGTGTTTGCATCCATTACCGGAGAATATGTTTTGTCATAATCAATACCTGGTTTCTGTGAGAAACCTTGAGTTACCAGTCGAGCTTTATATCTCACAATTTCATTTTTCTCATTATGTTTGCATACAAATACCCATTTGTATCCAATAGGCTCAACATCATCGGGTGTTTGGACGACTGGTCCAAATACTTCTCGTTTAGCTAATGAACTTAGCTCTGCCTGTATTGCTTCTCTCCATTTCCGCCAATCATTTCTTCGTCGACATTCTTCGACGTTTCGAGGTTTCGGATCCTCATTTTCAATATCAAGAGTAACGTAATATGAGAATATGTTGTCGACAACAATTTCATTTCTATTCCACCTTATTTCATAATTTGATGAGATCTCATCATTTTCAAGTACCATTGCCTCATCAAGGACTACATTATCATCATTTACTGTTTTTTCCTCGTTAAGGCTAATTATTTCATCAGTTTTAGGTACCTGAGCCTCATCAAGGGCTATAATTCTGTCCCACAGGGACATCAGTTTTTGCTGGAACATTTGTAGCTGGTATATGTGATTTTATTACTTTC